AAAATCTATCCGACTTTGGTTGATGTTTTGCAAAATAGTAGATTTTTTGCTGTATGGGATTAATGTTTTAGTTCTTCACCTCAAGCCAATGTCAGAAGTAAGTTCTAACATCTGGAATGCTCTAAGCTATTGGAAGTTACAAAGGTTTCTCTAAGATTCCCAGGACTTAGAACCAAGTCTTAAAACCGAGGTCAAGAGTCCAAGAGGCGGACACAGTTGAAGGTAGCTACAGTATTTTTGCTGTTGCAGGAAAATAAGGACAATAAATTATGGATATCAGTGAACCTCTTCACTTCATGTGTTTTGAATGATTCCATGTTGAGCACATAATGCATTTTCACCATTGTATACAGAGCTGTCATTTGTTTAGGTTTCATTTTTGCTTTGCTGTCCTCTTTATTCTCCCAGGAGTATGTGATGAGCTGCAAGACACATTGTAATTGGGCATACGGTAGCTTATGTGTTTTACATGACAATGTAGTAGAAAGCATCATAGCACACAATTGTCTATTTTAAAAGGTGTTAATTGTACTCTGTAAGCTTGCATTTGTGGGTATTTGTTGATTTGTATCTGAATTATATAAATAAAACAATTTCTAACAAATGGAAATACAGAAAAATATTTGTGCAAACAAAACAACATCGCTCGATTTTCTCCAGTCATTTTCCTACTGGGTGTTTTTGCATCCTTTTGCCAACTGATTTATATTCTGAACTACAATGTACAGTACAGCATGCATTCATTGATATGTTGTAAAACCTTTATGCTCACTGCCTTTAAAGCTGAATGGAAACGGCCTCTGTCTACACTTATCCTCTTCAGTTCTGAAAACACATCTATGGACATGGTACTCAAAAGCAGCAGAATGCTAGAATTTTGCAAGGTTAGGGGACACACAATGTTGGCAGATGCTCTGTTAGAGAAGGATTAATGTGGCATAAAAACAATAACAAGGAGCTTGAGAACAAGATGAACCCCAGTTAATCTTGTGATTTTAAACAAAACGAAATCAACGCTATTTGGAAAAATTAGTCACCTTCATCTCTACAGAAAAAAAACTATTTAACACAATTTCAGAATGTACAAATCTTTTTTGTCTTAATGTGTCTATTATCTGAATTTGCCATCCAGTGAAATGAATTTCAGAAATGAAACATTTTCTGTCTTGTTTTTCTTTCATTCTCTACATGATGGCTTGCAATGAAATAAGTCGTTTAAGACATGGCAAGTCAAAATTAGTGCAAACCTTTGCAAAACCCAATTAAACTAGAATTCAGTGCATTGCCATCAGATGCCTGGGTGGTTAAAATTGAGATGATCATGTTGACACTGTGCACTACTGGAAACCAAAAATAGAATAACTAAAAACACAATTGGGATAAAAAAAAACTATGCTACAATATATGGTATGTAAATTCTCACATCTTTATACTGCCTTAAGTGGATGAGTGTCATAATGTTTCCCATCAAGAGGCTGTTTGACTTAAATTTACAACGGAAACTACAAAGATACAGGATTAGAACACTGATCCTCTATTGTATAATAATGGACAGTACGTCACTGGCTTTTATTTGTGCTAGTTGTCTTTTACGAATATTTTCTAGGTATTGTATGAGGCAACGTTTTTTTCAGATTTTATCAAATCAATAAGGTGTACTTCCGTTTCTTGTTTCTTGAAACTGCAGGGGAGTGACACGCAAGCACCAAATGGCACTCATTCAAATTTGTCTTGTAGTTGTTTCTTTAAGTTCCTAAAACCCCGGCGGCCAGCAGAGATATAATAGGATATCATGCTGCTGTGAGACTGTTCACTCAGAGGGGATGGTAGGTCACATAATTCCTGTGAAAAACATTTCCTTCCTGCCTTGATATAAATGGTAAATCAAACTTTCATCTCTTTTTACGATATGTTGTCTTTCCATTTCACCCATGTGATGAGCTTATTAATATCTGGCTTTTGATACACATATATATAGGAATATGAATGGTGTCCTTTTTACTTGGTACTATTTCTGGCTGACAGTATTATTTATTTGGGCTCTGAGGAGCTAGAGTGCCAGTACTTGAAAGTGAAATGTTCTATGAAAGACATTATCCTTTACTTGTTAGGCTGTTCAAGTGCTTGGGTTTGTGTGAAGTAGAGGTTTGTGGCCCAGGTTTCATGGTGTAGGTTGAAAATGTTACATATTGTTGTGTGCTATTGAGATCCATTAGAGCCTCATGGAGCTTGTTTTTCACCTTGTTAAGCATTTCAATTCTTTATTTTTGTGTTGCTATTATTATTCTCATCATAATTTTGACATATGGAAGTTTGTTCAAAGGGATAAATGTGTTTAAATGCATCATGCCTTTTTCAGAGTTTTAGATTGCAAGTATTGTTCAATGTCTAGTTAAACCTTACAATATATTCTATCGTTTTATATAATTGCAAACATTTTCTTCATGTCAGCACATCTTGCCACCTGTGGGCCTTTTATTACACTTTTAATAAAATGTGTTTGATTTGCATCTAATATTCTTTGCCAGAGGTGATTTTCTCATTTTTTTACTATTATGTCCTGTAAAATTGTATATTGTGGCCACTGAACATGCACTAGTCATTTCATTGGGCGTGAGAGAGACAGTTTATTCTGTAAGGTTGAATTTTGCATTCCAAGGGAATAGAAAACGTCTTGTCTCATACTGCAGGGATCTTTTCAGAACTCTCTTCTGGTAAAGCTTATATTAGTAATCTCTTCAGACATGCCCCAATCGTTCCGTGTATCGGTTAAATGAAAGGCCTTTTAGGGCCAAGGGTAATGCTTAGTGTTACATTAATATCAAAATGCAGGAATGTGTGTTATCCAACTCCTTCCCATTATATGGGAGGCTTTCTGAAATACATTGTATAAATTAAAACCAAATTAGTTTTAGTCATACTAATGAAAAAACCTACATGCCCATTGACACTCAGTTAACCAATTATACATTGCATTTAAGGTCATTTAATTATGCTAACTTTTGTACCACAGTTCTTATGTACAGTACATAATAACTAATGGACAGACCAGTCCCAGAAAATAAATATCACATTGCATGAGTGCTAAAAAAATAACTCACTTTTAGTGCCCCTTGAAACATGATTTCTTCTTATGAGCCTTTAAGTCTTTCTTTTATTCCATACTTAAGGGTAGTTCTTTCTTCATTAAGCCTGCTTATTGTTGTTCCCTCATCCTCTTGTCCTTTCCTCTTTCTTACTCTTTTTTTATTTCACTCCCTCCATACGTGCCTTGTTTTTAGCATTATGCACTTGGAAAGCTGGTTCTTATTGCCTTTTAACTGTGTCAATTGGCCTCTAAAGTAACAAGTCCAGGTGGCAATAGAAGATGGTTTGAAATTAAAAGGGGACATTACAATGATTTGTGCTTTAGTCATAAGGGGATTTAAAGGGCAAGTGCATAAGAAAGACCAGATTCATAATTATTACTTAATGAGCCTCACTCCCATTATCCGTCTTGTAAAGGAACACCTGGGATTAATTAAGGGGTAAGCAATGAGATAGGGTGTGTACTTTTCCATTTCCAGGAAAATAAAACACAAATTGAATAATTAAAATATTGTAGAACTTTAAACAGCAGTAAGGCAATTGTTGTATGCAGGTGTTTGTTAGCAATAAAACGTAATGCTTTAACTAACTACCAAGCAGGCTAGAGGGTCCAAATAGCCTCCTCTCTTTTCTAACTTGTTTTATGCTTTGTGCTGTACATTCAGCCAATGCATTGGATTGTAGTTTATTTAGAAAAATTAACCTGTAGAAAAAAAATAAATGTAACTGCAAAACAATTTTTGTGTGGTGCAGTAAAGAAGACAAAAATGAATAAGGTGTCTTAATTATGTTTTGGTAGCATATACTCTACTGAACACCATACATTGCACAGTAAACTCACTGAAAGATAAAACTCATACTGTGAGCTCTCTGTCTAAACCCATACCCTGTTTATGGAATTCAGGAATAATGAAGACAAATCACAAAGGAACAGTTTAATCTAAGCATTTAGACTTAACATCCATATCTTTGTAAGGTCGAAGAATACTTGAGGACATGGGAAGAACATACCAACTAGACCACACAGATAGTAGTCTAGCTAGACTCAAACCCAGGACCCTGGAACTGTGAGGCACAAGTGATAC